TGGAAACTCTGTTATTGCCTGGAGTTGGGGGAAGGAGTAAACCCAAATCATTGAAATCTCATATTACTGAGTTATAGAATCATAGAATGAATGAGGCAGGAAGGGATCTTTAAAGATCCTCAAGTTCCAACCCTCTGTCATGGGCAGGGACACCTTCCACTAGACCAGGCTGCTCAAAGCCCCTGCCCTTGAACTCCCCCAGGGTTCCACTTCTCTGGGCGACCACTTTCCATCCACCACTTCTCTGGGCAACCCATTCCAATGTCTTACCACCCTCATTGTAAAGAATTTCTTCCTAATATCTAATCTGAATCTACCTTGTCTTGACACCTCACCGGGCATATCTATGTTCATTATAGTCCTCTGCCTTCCTTTAGACTAGAAGAGATGGGCAGTATTCCAAATAGATATAATTTTATATTTAGCCTAGAGGAGTGGGGAGAATCAAGAATATTAACTTCCATTTCAGACTTTACAGGAAACCATGCCGTAGTTTGTCTTATTGGTATAGACTTTTCTGTGAGATTTTTCTGTCCTGTTTTACTTTCCTGTTTCCTTATTGGTTTTCTGATTTGATTTCCTCTTACCTTTTCAGTCCTGATTGTGTCCTTTGGATATCTCATCCCACACACATCCTTCCTGCCTGTCTTAGTCTGTTTCTGTAGACCTCACAGTTCAGGTTCCTGTTCTTTTTTTTTATCCTAAGTCTTTATTCATTGTTCATCCAGATCTGTGCTGTCAGCTCTTAGTCACAATATCCATTCCTTCTGCCAGTTTCAATTCCCAACTCTTCAGAGTTTTCTTTCTATAACCTGTTCCTTTTCGTGTGATGTTTGGGACAGGTTCTCTCTTCCTTTGATTTGGACAGCTTCTTCCTTTGTTTAGCAGTGTACCGGAGAAGTCACTGAGAGCCTGGAGGGGATGACTGCCTTCTCAAACCTGGTCTGGTTTAATCTGATAGCCTCCACCGTGTTTTGCCTCCTGTCATGTGAGGATTTTAGAGGTGGACTGCTAGTGCTAAAAAAACTAGCAACCAACACATATAGGGAGAATTAGGTTTTTCTCAGTATAATAAGCAAAAGGGATCTGAAGAGACACATGGCTTAGATTTGTGTGGTAGAGAAAATCCTTTTGTACAAACTCCTTTTTGTTAAAACCATACCGGGAAAGCCAAACCTCTTAATATAAATGTCTGAATATTTTAGAATTCTCTGCCAAGAATTTATTTGGTCCTTCACATTCCTAATATCAGTGAAAACCCCTCAGGAAAATGGCATTCTTATAACATCTTCAGTAGTGAGGATCCTTTATTTGCTACATTAAACATTTAGAACCCAATGTCTAACCTCCCCAGTCCCCCGAGGTATGTCAGACTCAGAATGAGCTTTCCTGGCATTCACATTTGCCTTAATGCTCTGTCTCAGGGCTGTTTTGTTTGGGATTTGAGCGAGTTAATATGGTGTTAAGATCACAAATTGAATCCTTTCATAATAGTAAATGGGGAAGCTAATTGAATTTTGTTTTTTCTTCATGGTGCCATATGCAGTATATTCAGGCTTCCATCATTTGTGTCCCCAATACTATTAAAGAGTTCACTAGCTTTAGGTATTCAGCATAATGGGCAGTTAATAGGTGGAAGATTTGTTTGTTGTTTATAAATTCCATAGCTAATTTCATGAGGACTCAGGAAATCATTATTAATCTTGCAGATAATTAGAGCACCATGTTACCCCAACTGCTGCATCTACCCAACCCTCCTCTTGCTGAAACTTAGTTTTGGTTAGTGTTGCTAGGAACAAAAAGCTTTCTGCAGTATTGGTTCAGAATATGAAGTAACTGTCTGCCTGTCTCATTTTCTGGGATTCTTGCACTGCTGCTCATCACTGCAGTGTGAGTCTGTATCCACAACTTCCTGGACAAAGTCCTTTTTCATCATTCAGGAACCACGAAGGAACTGAGAGCTGGATGCAAGTGGCTGGAAGAGCAGGCACCTTAGGAGAAAAGTATCTGACACTTGAATGCTGTGGCTTGGCTCATTATCTGAGACTATCCCTTATTTTTTGGCGTATTCCTATGTGTGGAGTTATCCATATATTCACAGGAGTGGACAGTGTGTGGGTGTATGAGAAGTTGTTCTGTAGTGCCTGTGCTCCTAATGTAATTGTTTGTCCTCCCACCCCTCACCTGGCATATTCAGCAATCACTGTGTCCCACAGCACTGTTCTGTACTGTCCACATCCTCATCCACACAGTGCTATTCAGCAAATAGAGAAGCTCCTCTATTCCTGCATGAAAGCACCCACAATGTTATCGAAGGCCATGCATGTTGACTTTGTCTTTAACTGGTTTATTATAACTCCTTTTGCCACTCTTGCACAGTTTTGCCCTATTTTTAGAATGAGAAACAACCCCATAGTTTCAATCATATTATCAATCATTAAGTAATTTGCTTTTGTTTTCAAACAGCAACTATTGTGAAGAACTTTGAAAGTCTTGGCTGTGTGGTGCATTTTATTTACTTACTGTGGTTTCTGAAAAATGATGACTGGGAACATTTTCCTTGCTGAAAGCTAAATGGGTCTTGCAAAAAACCCCAATCAACCAGCCCACAAAAAACCCTCACAAAAAATCCAAAACAAACAAACAAACAATTTGGAAAGCAGCATTTTAGCATATACTATAGTGTTACCCAGTGATGACTTTAAAGGTTTTTAAAAGGACATGAACCATATGGAATGAAACCCCTTGAGACCCACCTCAGGCACCTTATCCCTTAAACCATTGATCCCAAAAGCCATAGATTGTGCTAATTCACGATTTCCAAACAGTTAAGACAGCATATTTCTTTTCAAGGACAAAGTCACACAAACCCAGAGTTTCAGAATTGTTCTATGGCCACTAGCAACTGGTATGACATAATTTAATTGAAGTTGTGAATAATTACTTTTTTCTTCACTCATTAGATGAGACCCATAAATATCACCACTAAGATACCTCTTGAATATTAGTTTTTGTTTTTAGATATTTTGGTGGATTTCTTTAGAATTCCAAATGTTCCTAAGGTCCTTCTCTTTCAGGCTGTCAGGAATGGTGATAGCTAAGGATTTCGGTTTTGTGTTATCTGCGTTATGTTGGCAGGTCAAAGCTTTAGTCCCCATTAAGTATATAGAAGAGAGACAAAATCTGTGGTGACAGTTTATGAGCCAATGGTGTAGCTCCCTAGTGCTCTGTAGCTATTGGAGGTGTAGCTGTGTCTGCTGCAATTCACTTTTTAGTGCTATAAATGAATTTAACAAACACTTCTTTCAGTAAGGGCTGCAGAGGGATCTGCTGAATTGAAGCTAGATAGCCATTAAGAACTCTCTGCAAAGAGCTTAAGGGTCTCCTGTCAGAGCAGGTTAGCAATAATGAACACTAAGCAAAGAGAATCAGTCTGTAACCCAGAGCATTGGAGCGCGTGAAGCAAACCTCATGATTGACCCTCCTTCCACTTGCTTGTCTCTCAGTCTCTGTTCTGTAATAAAAGAATCTGGGAGGTCACAATGAGCACTGTTCCCACCTGGCCTTTCTGAAAATGTGCAGGGGAATTGACATTGCTGCTGGATGTCAGTGTTTCAGGCGACGTGTGAGTTCTTTTGTTCTTCCTGCTGATCCCTTCTTCACATCCTTGTTTCTCCCTCCAGCTTTTTTTTTCCCTCTGCTTCTGTTTTTCCTGGGTCCATAGCTGTTCTGCTCTTCAATTTGCTTTCCAAACACAATGCTGGCAGCATTGTTGAGCCCTGTGCTGATCTCTAGGGTCTACTGTGAACTTGACTGCTGTAGGTGCTTCCCAGGTCTTCTCCTTGAAACCACTGAGCTCCTCTTTGTACTTCTAGCCTTGGTGCACCAGAAAAAGAGGAGCTATGTTCCCTGGTGTCTTTTAGCACTGTCTTGTTCTCTTACCAGAATGAGGATCTTCTTGGTATTGGAATATTTCTCCCTCTTAATCAACTTCTTTTCAACAGCAGGAAAGGCTGCAGCACAGTTCTGTTTTCTGTTTATCTCAGAAACCTTGGCGATTTTATGTTGCTGCTCATTATCTACTTATCAGAATTGTTTATGAGTTGATATTTTGCTCTCCTTCTGGAATAATTCATGTGAGGATTTAAATATCTTTCCTGCTGCTCCCATAAATTTTTGGGGCATTATTTGATTAAAGACCCTCCAGGGAGGAAAAAAGAACTTTATTCAGTGATTCAGTTTTACAAAATCAGATACTCAAGAGCGTTTGCTTGTTTTCTTCTTATTTAATGTGATCTTAGTAGGTAGCTCTCTTGGTACCTTTCTTGTGGAATCATGTATACTTTTTTCTATTTATTCTTTTTGTGGATTTGTTTTGGACTCCTTTCAGCTGCAAGAACAGAATGACTGTGGAAACCTAAATGTCCTGTTATTAAAAATGTTGCCCTCACCTGAAGGGAATTATTTGCTGGCTTTTTTTTTTTCCCTGACTAAATATGGAGATGTGTCAATTTTGTGTGTAGATGGAAAAATGTCTGTTTTGATTTGAAAGCAGCCCTACATCAAAATAACATGGTGTTGGACAGTTTTCTCTAAAATCAGACTATGACTTTCATTACTATAAATATGTAGAGTTTATTCTGAAAATAAAATATAACTCTTATTTCAAGGTATAAGGGTACCCCCCTAACTCTTATTCTGAGGTATGTTCCTTTCTTTGCAGTTAACATTTGATGTTGACATCAGAAATGAAGTGCATTATTTAACTGAATATGTTTCAGCTTCTTTCATGAAACCATGAAAGGCCTTTGAAAACTGAAATATTTGATAATTATAAGTGGGTGAAACTAACAATGAATAATAATCTTTTAAATATTTGTTAAGATTTAGATAATAGAAAGCTTTTGTGAGGACATTAAAAAAACAAAGTCGAAGCCCACTGTAAATCTGTTCAAGTTTAAGAGACTTAAAGAGTTTTTTCTTTGTTTTTGATTTTTCAGCCATTCCCCTAGGAATTATAGTTGTGCGAGGAGACTGCGACTTGGAGACTTGTCGTATGTACATTGACCGCCTACAAGAGGTGAGGCTTTTGTGAATTCAGATGTCATTTGCTAATCTATTTTATGTTTCTTTCAGTTCTCAGTGCAGAGGACTAGTAGTTGCAACAACTGTTGCAATTTGCGTGCCACTGAAATGAAAATTCTAGAATTAAGAGATGATAATAAAAGTACTGAAAGTATTTCTTAAACAGAAAATTAAAAATCACACTGGTTTCTTTTAAATGGTAACATAATTGATTTGGATGGGTGTGTTTACTTCTCTTTGATTAAGAATAGAATACCAGAACTTTCCACAGACGTTGCTGAAATTACCTAAATTATGCATTAGAAAGTGTGTTATGTAAGGATAAGCATTGTGGTATTTGAGGGGGTCCAGTTATTCAACTGTCACTCTCTAATACTGTCATGGAGTAATCTGAGAAACCACTAAACACTACAACTATCAACTAGATAGTTCCAAATCTCAGAAATATATGTTCATGCAGCTAATAATAGTGCCACTCTTATAGCCTTGAACACCTTGACTCAGGAGAGTTCATTCTACAATACAGTCTGGGCAATGGAGACTCTAAATGTCTCATTACCCAAGTCATTTAAAGTGTGTATGCCTTTAGTGATAAAACTAATGGATTTTCATCAATGTACTGTCTCTGATTGTTTTTAATCTCTTAAAAATCACTATCTTAGTGACATCTTTCAATAACATTTACAAGTGTGAGGACATCATGTAGGTTTATAAATCATTGGTCTAATTTACATAGGAACTATGAATCTCACCCCTTCCATTGAACTCTTTGGGAGCCATTGATTTCCTGTAGGTTTTGGAACTCTGCACTTGCAGTCAGAATATGAGCTTTAGTATCTCACTTCAGGGTTTCACTTCTTTGCATTTCTGAACATCCAGACCTGAGATGTGACTGTTATTATCGGACAGAAAACCACATTTTATGTTGCATAAGGTGCATACCATAAGGTAAGGTGTAAGATGCATATTTGCAGTATGGGGTATGGAAAATTACAATCAATCTGGAAGTTCTGGTTGAATTACCCATAGTGTTTGTGGAGGAGCTGTATTTCCACAACCTTGTGCAGTTTTTGTGCCTTTTTTTTTTTTTTAATGTGCTTGATTTGGCTCAGTCCCATTTGCTGGGAATAGAGATGCCAAGTTTTTATTGAGCTCTACCAACTTACTTGCTCCTGGGGGGCAGTGGTCTGTAGGCCAGGCTCTATGGTAGATTAAGTCATGAGCTATAACTATTTGACAAAATCTCTATTAAAATAAATTAGATTCCTGAACCCTGCTAAATATCAGGATCATTCTGATATGACCTCTTTGGAGTGAGGTTGTCTTAAAACAGGGAGAACTGCCAGTGGTTTTCTTCAGTGCATTAATCACTCAAAACTATTAGTAAAAAAAGGCTTGGATTTTTAGCATATTTTCATTAACTTTTTTGCTGATATTCTAAATTTAGATAGTTCTGATGGAACAAATAGATTTGTAGCATGGTAAAGATTCATTAACATAATCTCTATATTTTTGAAGCTGTTTTTTTGACCAAATGCATACAAATCTAAACTTTAGGTGAACTTTCCTTGGCTATTCTATGGTGTTTGTTTCACATGCTTAAAACCAGTGAGAAATACTTGCAAAATGATTTGTGTTTGCCCAACCACTTCAGATAGTAGAACTGCAAACAGCTCTTGTTGCTTTGATCTTTTTCATCACTGCTTTGTCTTTCATTCTCCATCTAGGACCTACAGTCAGTACCTTCTACTACACAGAGAGTTCATTACCAGGTAAGATAAGCTTTCCTTTTATTATCAGAACAAAAAGAGTCTTAACTGTGAACTGCACTCTTTGCATTCGAACCTATACATTCTTGGGTTAAACACCTATGGTTTAGCTGAATTTCTGATTAACATTTGTGCTTAAATCTTGGAGATTCATTCTGATTTCTCTTGTACAATCCTTTTCTTGTAAGCCTTATGGAATCACCTTTAAAACTAGCACAGGATGATGATGGGAGCCATACTGCAATAGCGGTACCTTTGCGTATTGAAGTGAATGGGAGACTGTGTCCTGTAGGACAAATGACAAAAGTAAAACTTTTTCTCTCTTTAAGAAACAGAACAATAACTTGTTATATTGCATAGCTGTAGTAATAAAGTCTTAACAGTGAGAAAAAAAGGTGTTATAGCAGGCCTAACCTCTTAATAATTCTGTACACGTCAGTCATCTACTTTAACATAATCTTCAGGGTAATTTTTTAATCCATCTTGGGCAAAAATGTGTTTTCTGCATGAGACAAACAATTTTTAGGTGGCTAGTTCTTAAAATTGGTCTCTTTGTACATTTTACAACTTTATTCTACAAACAGAACTTACCTTTACAGTTGGAAGTGTTGTATATTTCTCTCAGCAAAATAATGCATTGCAGAGCACTTAAATTGGAAGTAAACTAACTCAGACGAACTCTACTGGCTCCTGAAATGGTCAGATCTTAGCACAGAGACTTGACACAAACCATGGTCAGTTGACATAGTGCTTAGGATCACAAGCTTGCATGGTGTTGATAATGTTTTTCCTAATTTAGCAATGCAAGTCTTGTTGGATCAGCAGGAACAAGTTCGCTGAGAAAGCGTACAGAGATCCAGATGGCAGGAACCAATTGTGGTGAAATTGCAGATAATTTCTTGGATGTTACTGATTACTTGGGTGATACAGAATTCTAGTTTCACAAGAATGCCTGTCGGTGCACTGACTGCAGGCACTATAAGAAAATGCAATTTGGCATGTTTTCCTGGAGTTGCCTCCTTCTTATCAGTTCATGGTTTGTTTTTTCATTTCCCTGTCCAATGTTAACCTCATAGTTTTGACATTTCCATCAGTCATTTCCTGGAACTGAGTTTTAGAGCACTGTTAGTGTCTAGCAAATTGACTAATAAATCAACATGTATGATTCTGTTCCACTCATTATAAATTAACCTAAGTGGCTACTGACTGCTCCATGTGTAGGAAACTGCCTGAGGTAAAATGAAGAACTAAATCTGCTTATATGGGGAGGTCTAAAAAAGAGTATGAAATGTTGAAAATCAGCTCAATACTTGGCTCTAACTTCTGCAGTTATAGCAGTATATGAATTAGTTGCCTAGACATCTTCTCTAGTGCACAGCAGTGTGAAATCCCTAACACACCATTCGTTTTTTATGATGCTGCATTTTGAATGTGCCTTTCTCTGTGTTTTGTCTTCAGTACTTGTTTGTCCTGGTTTCTTCAAACATGGTTTTTTCTCAGTGGGTCACTTTCTGCAAACTGTCTTGTTAGGTTAATTTGAGGTTTGTTCCACATTGGTATCCCTATACATATTGCAGAAATGGTAAAAAGCAGTGGATAAGGGGCATGAATAAGGTGCTTAAAGTGATAGAACTGTCTTTATACCTCACTAATAAGGTGTCATGGGTACTTTTAGGTCTCATAAATGCAGTTCTCTTGCGTGATTCCTCTGCAGCTCAAAACATGGGAAGTCAGCAGAAATATTAGCAAGCCCAGGTGCAAATGAGAAAAATTACACTAGATTTGTTTCTCACACTGTTTTGTTTCTCTAATGAGTTTATTACTCATAACATACCATTCTCATGGGCCTGAGACTTCGCAAGCTAGTTCTGCAGTTGATCTGTAATGAAGTCTTGGAAGGAGGATATCACAATATGCAATTTGTGATTCGAATTTATATTTACCAGCATTATCCCTATATTCACTTTGCCAACATTATGTACTCTATGAATTTTTACTCATTTTTCCTCTTTGTATAAACTACTTTTTAGAACACACCATTATTGGATGTTTTCTTCCTTTTTCCCTTTGTATAGCAGTCCTCTCCTTTCCACAGAACGGACTAAATATTAAGATACATAAAGCTTTGTGCATTTAGAGACAGACGGCAGCAAACCTAATGGATTTCAGTGATCCTTGATTCTCCCACATACCCCTTAGCTGCAATATAAGCAAACCTAAGCATCCCACAGCTTGGTTAGTCCTTCTTAGAGAAAGAAAAGGTGTATTTTAAATCTGATTCTATGAAACCATTCAGATGTGTTACTTGGTCCCCATGTGTAGATAAAGTTCACTTTATGGAATTTGATGCTGTCATTGTCTCCATCTCTCCTGTAAGGAGACTGGAGACAGTAAGCTGTACATGAGAGCTAGGTTTATGAAATTAAGTAAAATCCTCCCTGTTGCTTCTACATTTTCTTTTCTAGCCACGTGACTTGGTATACTACTCTGTAGTCTGTTGTCTGAAAGAGGAGTAAAGTTTAATCTTGAGTCAATATGAGCCTGAATTTACATTGTTTGTAGATGTGCTGATTGTACTGCTTAAGATGTAAATAAGGATAGAATCTGGCTCTATACAAATTTTATGTGTGCGCCCAAGATCAATGCTGTCGTGTTATACCTTCTGCAAATACATTTGTGTTTAAATGTTATATGCCAGTGACTTTAACAATTTGGCTGACCATACACTGGCAGCACAGAGATGACCACCCTCTGCTCTCTTGAGATCCCTTTTGCCTCTCCAGCTCAGTGAGAGCTGAAAATGCGTGGGGGACTGTTTGAGTGCTTGGTGAGCACAGGTCAGGAAGAAGGTCTCCCCGGTCATTTTCCTCCCCAGTCATTTAGTTTGGTTCCTGCAGTAACATCTGTCAGATCTCCAGGAGCAGATTTTTTTAGCCAGAATGGGAACATGTCAATGTAGGATGTCTATTTGTTTGGCCAGTGGTGGTCCTCAGACCTGCACTTTCCGTAATCTTGGTGCAGGGGATAACATGTTTTTTACTCCAATGTGCGTTGGGGACAGAGCAAAGTGGGGAATTGCTTTGAGTGGCAGATGAGTAGAGGAGGCAAAAGTGTGTAAAAATACTGAACTGGGACAAAGGAAGGTGACAGATACTTTCAGGCTCTTGGGGATAGTCCTGTGCTGGGCCAAGAGTTGGACTCGATGATGCTTGTGGCCCCTTCCAACTCAGCCTATTCTGTGATTCTGTGACAGCACATAAGGAACAAGCAGTAATCAGAGTTTGTGGCTGCTGTTTGATACTGATGTGTGTCTTAGATCTCGTTCACCTCCCTCTGTTCCTGTTGGGAAAGCTGTTGTTGATGCAGAGTTTTTGATACTGCTGAGCTGAAGGGAAGAGGACAGCTGAAGATGGGGCTGCAGCTAACCATGTCAGCTTACTCTTTTGTATGATTGCAGTCAAACCTTGATGTCATGGAGAAGAAAATCCAGTGGGTTTAGGTTATGTAGCTTTTACACATCGTGCAACGTCAGTAGAGCCAAGTGAAAAAAAGCGCAAAGTCTAGGAAATAGCCTATCTTAGAGAAAAAACGGTTCTTTTTTTAAAATATGATTTCCCTGCCCTATACAGGACCAGGAAAGCTCTTTCCCCAGAGTACTTTCTGTCCAGAGGCTCTCTCCTAGATGGTGCTTCCTAGACGGTAAGTGCATCCCCCTTGTCTTGTGCCCAGCTTGCTGCTTGCCTCTGTTGTGCATATGAAGGATAGTTCATCTGAGAGTATTAACTGTGGCGGGGTAACTTGTTCCTTCTCGTTACACTGAGCAGGTAAAAAAGGAGCTGAGTGACCCCCTTTCCCCTTTAAAAAGCAGAGTGGGTCCTTCATCTAGCAATCAAAATGTCTGCTGTAGCTTTTTCACCCCAAGGAGACATGCTCCCTCAAGGGAGGTTAGTTGGGTTTATTAGAGTCTCTGCTGTGATGAGGAGACTTAGTGCATGGCAATGCCTGAACTCAGAGTGCAGCTGACTGTGGCAATGTGCTGCTGCTGGTAAGGCTGTGCTCTTCACTCTGTAAGTTTGATAGTTTTTAGGCACTGTAGTGTTTAGGTGATGGAACTATACCTCCCTTTTCCTTGTAACGCTGCACTTCATGTAATTCCCAGGAGAGCTCCACTTGTATTTGACCCAGACTTTGTCGAAGCAGACGACTTATCTGGGCTGTACATCAGGCTCCAGAGCACAGAAATTAGCAACTGAAATGGATAGCATCTGCTTTTACAATAGCTTCAGCATGGGGAGGCTTAAATTTTTAATATTCTAAACAAAAACAAATTCTCCTTGGCAATTTCTAATCACTCTTCCTTGTCTCTCATGAGGGAAATTGATAAAAACATATTGAGAATCTGTTTGGATTTTGGAGAAAGCTGGGTGGCTAGATGCATTTAGTTTTTGTCTTTAGTATTTGATATTCTCTTGCAGTGCCAAAGCCTACAATGCTATATCACTATCCTCTTGTGTCAAAACTCCAGAGTGAATGGACCTGATTTCACTCACCAAACAAAATGCAAAGTAGATACAAAAAAAATTGCATCTGATGAAGCACACTGTACATAATAAAATACTTTTGGGCTTAGTAACATAAATTATTTGACAGTGGCAAATTCATAATATGTGCTTTATTTAGTGAATCTCCCCTGTTTTCATGTGTTTTTTATGAGTAGCATAAATTTTCCTTGAATATATTGTTAATTCAGAGCGAATATTTCTGGCCATGCATTTGATTTACCAAGAACTCCCAAGCATGGTATTGTTCTTTAGATTCAAAATTTGAATTAATCCTATTAGACTCATCAGTTTAATTATATGCTTGCCATACTCTCATAGGAACAGTGGAGCTTCTTCTGTCACATATTTTAATGTAATCAATTCTTATAAGCCTGAAATCCATTTAATACATTTTTAAAAATATTTATTTCAAATTAATATTTTCAGTGAGTACTGTTTCATTAAACCTCACCTTTAAATTCACCATTTAATGGGATAGGAATATCATAGAGTCATGGAATATTTATGGTTGGAAGGGACCTTAAAGATCATCTAGTCCCAATCCTCTCGGTCATGTACAGGGACACCTCCCACTAGCCCAGGTTGCTCAAAGCTTTATCCAATGTGGCTTTGAACACTGCCAGGGTTAGGGCACCCACAACCTCCCTGGGCAACCTGTTCCAGTATCTTGCCACTCCCACAGTAAAGAGTTTCTTCCTAATATCTATCCTGAATTTCCCCTCTTTCAGTTTGTACCCGTTACTCCTTGTTCTATTGCTACAATTCCTAATGAAGGGTCCCCCTCTGGCTTCCCGGTAGGCCCCCTTCAGATACTGGAAAGTTGTTATGAGGTCTCCATGCAACCTTCTGTTCTCCAGGCTGAACAGCTCAAACTTTCTCAGCCCATCTTCATAGGGGAGGTCCTCCAGTCCTCTTATCAACTTCATGGCCTTCCTCTGGACTTGTTCCAACAGTTCCATGCCCTTCTTATGTTGGGGACACCAGAAATGTATGCAGTGGTTCAGGTGGGGTCTCACATGAGCAGAGTAGAGGGGGAGAACCACGTCCTTTGACCTGCTGGCCATGTTCCTTTAAATGCAGCCCAGCACACAGTTGGCTTTCTGGGCTGAGTGCAAACTGCCGGCTCATGTTGAGTTTTTCATCAACCATTACCTACAAATTCTTCTCTGTAGGGCTGCTGCTCTCAATTGCTTCTGGACCCAAACTGTAGGTGGGCCTGGGATTGCTGTGACCCAGGTGCAGGACCTTGCACTTCGCTTTGCTGAACTTCATGAGGTTCTTCATGACACCTCTCAAGCATGTCAAGGACCCTCTGGATGGTATCCCTTCCCTCCACCGTGTCGACTGCACCACACACCTTGGTGTCATCAGTGAACTTACTGAGGGTGCACTCACTTCCACTGTCCATGTTGCTGACAGATGTTGAGCAGTTTCAGTCCCAGTACTGACCCCTGAGAAATACCACTTATATGGACATCATGAATTAATTAGGTTATGTTCTTGTGGGGCCACTTCACTGACACAGGGGTCGTCTTATGTAGTAGTGGACAAAACAGCCCGTTTGGGCCATGCAGTTCTGCTCAGACTATTTTCTTCACAATGGCTTTGTTGTTTCTCTGTCTTGCAGCAACTTCTGCTGATCGTTTTTACCGCATTGACAGATCTCAGGTAAATCTTTATTCAGTTATAATTTCTATAGATTTATTTTTTTTTAAAGCTTTGTCAAGTGCAACTTAAAACGAATTATCTGCCATTCCTCCTGTATATTCCAAAATGTTACCGACGTCTCATGAGAAATAGAGAAAATATTCTGGGCCATTTTTTAGTTGATGTAATTCACATTGCTTCAATGATGTCTTGTGTCTGCTGACCATCTGCCGTTCTGTTTCCTAACAATCTGATATAAAGATCAGAATTTTCTGCACTCGTCATCCTTATTGTCTTACTAAGGGCATCTGTGTGGCACCAGTGTATTCGCATTTATCTTTTCACTGATGCTTTTTGGCACCAGAAGCCTTGATCCTGTGTATGTGTCTGCCACCAAATAGCTATAGAAGTTAAGGTGATGTTACAATTTGAGAATTAGGAACAGAGCTGCATCAAATATTCCTAAAACAATATGTAGCTCTGCTGGATTCAAACCTGTGGCAGAGATTTGACAATCTGAATATGTTTTCTAGAAAACACTGAAAATTTTACAGGGCTTTTGGTGTTTCTGATTTGTGGCCAGAACGGGCCAGTTAGTGGCTCAGCATTACGTGCAAATTGTTGATTTCACACAGTGACCATTTGTATCTGGTCCCCCTGAGAACTGTGTAAGCTGTTTCTGAATCACATGAATGTATTACTGTTTCTTAATAAAAGCAGCTAGTGCTTTAGTTCAAGCAGCAGGAGCCGTGACTTTAGTTCAGAGTTTCCAGGTTCAGTGTCTGCATGTAGCCACCATGGGACTTCTTTACACACATGTTATACGTCTTTGTTTTCATGTTGTACTTCAGCATTTGGAAGGCATGGGTGAAGAAGATGCAGGTTAAACTAAGCAATCTGATCCTGTTTGGCTTATTCTGTATTTCTTTAATACTTGACACTGTACAGATGGTCATCTTTCTCTCCTACTCCTCCTGTGTTTCTGTGGGGAAAAGGTCAATACTGTGTGATGGTCCCAGCACACAAACAGTGGGAAGTGTCCTGCCTGTTTGCCTACATAGACAGGCCTACTCCCACTCAGTGTTTTTGTGAAGGACAATGAGCCTTCAGTGTCAATAACTAAAAGGAAGGACTAAGAAAGAAAGCTTTGTTAATGGAGATGTGAAACCAGAATGTACAAGCAGTAAAGATCTGGAAGAGTACCCCCAAACAATGAAAAGTTCTGTCAGCCATCACCGAATGAGACACCTTGAGTGTTGATCCTCGTTTCGAAATGCAGACCTCAGCTTTTTGGGTAGACCTGTAGTTTTCATCAGAATGACATGGAGTCATTGAGTAGGAGCCTTTTAAGTGTTGCTGTGACTGTGAAGCTTGCTCATTGGAAATCTTGTTTGGCTTGAAATCAATGAAATATTTATTAGTGACTTCTGTGGCATTGGTTTTAATGTGGTTGTATAAGTATGCATTTAAGTGCACAGAGTCCCCTGAATGCTCTTCAGAGACACTAATGTGCAGCCAGCTGGCTCTAGGGCAGGTGGGTGCTCTGAGAGATCAGTGATGCTGCAGGTTCATTATTTGTTGCTTGTATCACTCCAACAGGAACATTTGCACTTTGTGACAGAAATTTCGCAGGACGAGATTTTTATTCTGGACCCAGAGGTGGTAATGTCACAGCAGGTGGGGACACCACCAGGAATGCCTGATCTGGTAGTGGAGCAGGCCTCTGGGTGAGTACTGCTGGGATCGGACTTTTCATGGTTGTATTAGAGATAAGCGTCTCTTTATGGTCCCCTTTTCTGAAGGACTGGGAGTTGTGGGAGGGCAGATATTAGATGAGGAGCTGAGGACAGGAACAAATCCAGCCATGGTAATGACAGAAGGACAGTAGCATAATCCACATCTACTCCATTAGGCATCCTGGAGCACACAGCAGGGCTAATAGACTTCAGCACCTTTTAACCTCCTCTATAGGTCAAGATACCACTTGACTATCTGCCCTGTCATAAACCTATAATGATTGAGTTACAAACTCTCTTCTCTGTGTGGTTAGGGCTCTGATACCACTGCATAAGACCCTGAAACCCTTTATGTCTAAGTATGATGGTGAAGTGTCTGTTTCTTATCATCCTCTCAACAGACCAGAAATGCTTCTATTCATCTTTAGGAATCTTGTATTCGTAGTGAATTAATCAATTTAAACTTGCCATGGGCTTGAAAATACTGGGAACCACTAAGCATAAGATGGCTTCCAAGTGGAGTACACAGCTAATTTCTGAGGGGTGAATGCCTTTCTTTCCTTCTTATATCCCTAGAATATCAGATCGGTGGAACCCTGCTGTGCGAAAGAGGATGCTGAGCGACAGTGGCCTCGGCAAGATCTCCCCCCACTACGAGGTACCTGACAAACAAAAGGACGCCAGCCAGACACATATGCTGCAGTAAGAGCCCTCTGCATTTCTCTGCTTGATGACGCACTGTCACTGTCACCACAGCCAACTCCTGGTGTCTCCTTTAAGCATAATGAATTGTGCCGACTTGCTGAAATTACTGAAGTTCTTTTGCTACCTCTCTTTTGCTCCTCCCTTCTGTTCTTCCTCTTTCTCCACTATTGTATGTTCTTGCCTTTGCTTCTTCCTCTGTGGCACCCTGAACTCTTAATTAATCTAGATCCAAGGACCCTGAAAGAAAATATGTTATTTTGGGTGCCAAAATTTCCACCTAAGTTCTTGGCAACTGTTTAGGAGAAAGATCAAAGCATTCACCCTCACTGTAGCTTTGATACAATGTGACAAAGCAGAAACCTCTAGAACTGCAGCTTGTTGTCAAAGATATGGGCAATAGTTTTCATATAATCTTGAACCATGTAGGATGGCTAAACATTGGTTTTCTTTCTGATGATACCCCCATGGAGACTTCTAACACTGTATCCTATTTACCCTGTTCAGATTTGTATAAAAACATCTCTTATTCTGCCTGCCTGTTTTAGAAGTGGTTCTCAACTTTTTGGTCATTTCCCTTTAGATTTTCAGAACTATCAGTAGATCTATAATCACTACCAAAGTTTAGATGGGAAACACTTGTCAGAACTCTGTTGGTGACTTTGAAAGATTCCAGTCTTTTGGGATTGCTTCCCTTCCCCCGACCCCCTCCAAGTACCTAATGTATAATTATGTACATCACTTCTGATTTATGTTTCTAGTTTTACTGTATGGACATCCCTATGGACAGATATTAAAACTTAGTATAGAAAAATAAGGAATAGTGACCATGTGGTCCTTGTTTCAGATTTTCTTTCTGTCTGGATGTGTGTGGAAGGGTGTTGCAAAGTGCCTACAGGGCAGGCAGAGCCTACATTTTCCGGATAGATGCAGTGTGGATGGTAGACTGTGTAGCCATGTGGCTGCCAACTGGAAACTTTCCAGCAAACTGGAAACTGCTGTCAGGAGAAGGAGATGTCATGGTAAGAAAGGATGATCTAGGTAGCACTTACAAATGACAGGTTTTCTCCTGTTGCCCTGAGGGATTCTGGGTTAGTTCTTGGTACTCTTTGCAATGTGAAGAATGGTGAATTCAGGTTCACTTTTCCACAGACTGGAGTGGCAGGGCCCAAAATTTGAAGCTAACAAAGCTATGAGAAAAGTGATCCTTAGGCACGTCTAGGCAGTATGGAGAGATGGTGAGAACATGTGGACTAATTTCTAATTGGTAAAAGGAATGATTTGGATTACATCAGAGTGACTGGAAATGTTTGCTTAGCTGTAACAATTATGTTTGGTAGATTTATTAAGTACAAGAAAAATCAGCAGCATTGCCCAGAGTAAAGTGTATCTGTCACTGCCTGCTCTGAGGAATTGTTTTCTTTACAGCTTTTCTAAAAACTTTAATTGTTTTGGCTGAAATTTTTCATAGTAAGACTCCATCTTTGACTGTTTCTTTTTCTTGTAGTAAAAACTTGAACAAAAAAGTCAGTTCTTTCTGAAGGCGAGATTTGTGGGAAGTGTACTCCTTTAAATTACCTACTTTCAAATGAGTGAATAAATCCAGAGGTTGTTTCCTGAGACGTTTTAGTGCTGGTAGTGGAATGAACTGCATTGGAATGAAGTTTTGGAGGCTTGACATTTAATAAAATGTCATCATAATACCAGGGAGATGCCTTTCGCTGTCTTGAAAATTACTCCTGAGTTTGCCCTGCTGATGAGATTGTTCATGCACTTTGGAGACACCTCAGATTCAAGAGTTTTGCTTTCAAAAGTTTCTGTCTGTACATGCTCACAGAGGAGTTATGCCCCTTCTGTGCTTAATTCAGGTTGCAGGCCTGCCTACAGGGCTGAGGGAAGGGGGGCTGTGCTGCTCACCACCTGATCTCCAGAAGCAAGGAGAAAAGGGATGCAATAGTCGTGGTCAAATGGAGACATGCAGGTGCCTGGAAATCAGAATGGAAATAATGAAAAGCAAGAGGACATGGGACACAGATAGGTAAGGGAATAGTGAGACAGGCTAGAGGCACAGAGGAAGGGTCTGTGGCTGTTTCTCTCCAGAATCTGGAATTCTGGGTTTATGCAGATTATTCATTCCACAGGTGGGCAAGCTCTGAAATATGTTTAGACACTGCCTCATTTGCTGCCAAGATGGAAGGTATATAGTGAGTCAGGGGATCGTGGTGGAGAAAGAAAGATATTATTACTGTTAAGGCACTTGAATGCTGCTCTGGAGGACTGGTTTCTCTGCTCAACATCCCTGACAGGATTTCTGAAGGATGAAGATTTACAACAAACTTTTTGCAAATGGCCTGTTAACAGTGGGCTCCTCATTCTATGCATGTCCACTGTGAAGTAGCTTTGGTTCCTGGGAAGCCAGTACAAGGAGAATTTGAAAGAGAGTGAAGGGCTGGAAACCGAGAAATAGGCTTTCTGTTGCCTCAGGTTGTAGTACTAATATTAATGGAAGGTTTGTGCCTGCTTTCCCACCTGCAGAATACAGATAATATTGCAGCCTCACCTTAGAGGAGCAGAGTGAGGGTAAATTTCATGGCCATGAGAAACCTAGGTGCTATGGGGAGACACTGTCAGAGATGCTTAGCAGGAAATTAATAATTTTGCATTCTGCGCAGTCTTGGTATTGTGGAATAAATAAATCTTGAGGCTGTGCACTGCATATACAGAAGGATATCATTCAGGTCTCTACTTAAATACTCAGACAAGAGTCCAGAAGAAGAAAGTGAAGGGTGGCAATGTGATTTAAGGTTGTTGTGACATTTAATGCAACAGGGGTGGAGTATGATACTTGGGTGACATGAGCTGTGACATTTCCAAACTGTTGAATGTTTGAATTTGCAACCTAAAATAGTCTTTCTAACCTGGCACTTTAAAGCAAAAAAAGAAGTGCTTTAGAGAGCACTATTATGTTTTGGTAGCTGAAGTAGCTCAGAGGTTCTTTACAAAGATTTGTCCCTTCAGAAATTATTTTTCAAATAAAACTTGAGAAAAGGATTATAGCAAAATTTCTAAAGAGGAATGTGGCAGAGAACAGAGTGGACAATTCCTCCTGTGCATGGAGCTCTTATGGATCTTTTAAGAATCATCAGCGTCCAGTATTTTACATTTAGTCTGAAATACTGTACAGCATTTCCAACTCAAAGTGCATTATCCTATAGCCTAGGGCAAGTGTCAGGGAACTTGGTGTGAGAAAAAGTGTCATAGTTGACTTACTGGGAATGTTATCTCAGTGGTCATTTTTCTCCTAAACAGTTGGGAGTGAAACTCTTCAGGTATTAGGAACAGATTAAACCACAGCTGGTCATAATATAGCTGCAGGCTGCTTAGAGTGCATCTGTCATCACTATAAACACACATATATAAATATGTGTGTATATGCAGATGTATATATATAAAACCTCCTTGAGATGAAGTTATTATTTCTGACAAGTGAGGAATGTAGCTAAAAAGTCAAAGTATGCAAATAGAAAGATCCCTTAAATTATTTCAATAAATGGAAGCAGAGAAGAGAATATGTGATCTGAAAATAATAATAATGTTTGATGTTGCTTTTGATCACAAGCTATTGTGTCAAACTGTAATTTGAATATAATGGTTTTGAGGCAGGGTTCTTTCTGAGACAGAAATTATGCTTTTGTTTTCAATTAACTGTGCTTCAAGTTATTTTCAGCTGGCTTTTGATTAATGGCATTTTGTGTTTTGGTCCTTTTTTTGATAGCTCTTTGATGATATATGGAGTGGACAAGACACGAAACAGTGTCTTGATGCGATAACCAGGAGCTGGGACAGATTGTAGTTTAACAGGAATATCAATTAGTGTGAATGGTGCATAAAAAACCACAATAGGAAGACAATTTATTTGGACTAGAGGTATTTGTTCTTTAAAAAGCTAAATATGCTGGTCTGACTCCACTGAAACAAAGGAGCCTTCCTTTGTAGATGAGTGGGTTCATGCTAATTTTATCCTATGATAAAATGGTGCAGTGAGTTATGGGTGACCTCATGGCCTGCTGTAAGCATTTGTTGCTGGCAATATATTTCTCTTGCTAGTTATGTTTGTTACCCTGTTATGTGTTGAGAGCTGGAAAATGAAAAAAAATAAAAACCAGAACAGCATACAAAGATGAAAAGGTGACTATACTCTGGTAGAGGTTTAATCTATGGTTTTTAATTGAAGTAATTAATTTCCCCATTTTTGGGGGCAGTAATGAACACTTTTCTAGCAGCTGTCCAGCTGTGATGGCAATGTATTTCCAAAGCTGCTAGCTGCATTGGCTGAATCAAGTGCATGGCTCGTGAAGGGTGGGTGAAGGTTGGCCAGAATGCCATCTGGTCTTGTCAGGGAGAGGAAGGAAAAATGCCTATAGGTGCTGGAAGATGATTGCAGCCCTTTACACTAAATAGACATTAATTAGCTAGTAATACTATGCAGGCATTGCTTTGTGAGGCAATAATAACCTAGCTCCTCAGAGGGAAGAAGAAAAAGGCTAAATGCCAAGTGTTTTAACTCAACCACAAGAATCAGATCATTGCCTAGGAAATCAGTGTGACAGTGCAGATGTTACAAGGTGGTTTAGGGTATTTTTTAAGAGAAATCTTTGTGTAGTACAAGATGAGAAGAGCATCACGTATACAACTTTGAATGTAAAAGGGAGAAGGAATGCTCTTTTAGTGAAAGTTTAGAAAATATAAAGAGATGATTCAGAACATGGTAGGCAGGAGCTGCCTAGTGACAATGAGCCTTTAAAATGTCAAAGGTTGGTAAAAACTTGATAAATCCAAGGCTTTTCCCCAAAACTCTTCCACTGGGAAACTCAGCATCAGCTCTTAAGTAGGCAGAGTAGTCTGACCTGGTGTTTTTGACAGCAAAATCTGAATTAATTTTCAGGTTCAGATTTAGTGCAAACTGCATTTATCAGATTAAGCCACAAGAGTGAATTGTG